CCAAATACAGTAACAAGTCTCACAATGTTACTGGGCCCGCTCGAGCAAATCGATGAACAACGGGAGGACAGTGACAGTGACACAGAGCAATATACATTTGGTCCCTCTGGGTCTTTTCTCTCTGGTTCACTCATTTCTTTTTAGTGCTCCATAAAACTTTTTTGGATGCATCACAGTCTGTCCATTCGTCTGTGTCACAGCATCATAGACACATGTGCGTGATTTTGTGGGAACCCAAGTTTCAATGCTTTTGAGTCAACACCAGGATGCAAACATCTGAGTATGGTTAAATTTTTGTTTTGGGGCCCACACCCCACCGTGCTCAAGGGCTGCTCCTGGCTTTGTGCTTGGAAATCACTGCCGGCAATGCAATGCTCAGGGGAGTCTGCGGTGCGCACACACAAGCCTGGGCCTCTCATGGACTAAGCATGTGAAGGCCTCCGAGCAGGCCCCTGGTTAGTTTTATAAAACCGTCTTCCAAACTGGCTGTCCTTCTTTATTCCCCAACAGCATGAATGAGTATTTGTTGCCCTGCATTCGTCAGAAGTTGATTTTTGTCTGTATCTGGAACTATAACCATTTATGGTGTGTGGTGTCTTGATGGCACGCAACATGAAAAGTCTCTCACATGCTTATTTTGCCATCTGCACATCGTCAGTGAGGTGCCAAGTTTATTGGACTGGAGAGTAGTGAGTAAGGTGCTTGCCATGCATGCAGGAGGCCTGGGTTTGAGCACCATGGCATGGCAATCCCAAAGCACGAGCTGGAAGTAACCCAGATGTGACTCCCCCGCCCTCAAACCAAAGTAATAGTAGTAGCGGTGGTGGTGGTGGTGGTGAGTGTTCACTTCCTTTGTGTGGGCATGTTCTCTTCTCTAGTATAGATGCCTAGAAGGGAGATCCCTGGGGCGTATGAACTGGTTCCTGCACCATTCTACACTGCACCATAGCATCATATGAGGATTCTTTTTCTTCACATTCTTGCCAACACTTACCATGATGTCTTTTTTTGCTATGGGTGTGACATGGAGTCTTCTGTGGTATTGATGGATATTTGTCTAGTGTCTAATGATGCTAAACAGCTTTCATGTTCTTACTGGTCATTTGTATGTCTTCTCTAAAAAAATTCCCCCCCCCCCCGTCATTTTGGGGCCACGCCATGTGGTGTTCAGGGCTTACTCCTGACTCTGCATTCAGGTATCACTCCTAGTAGGCCTCAGGGGGACATATGGGATGCTGGAGATCAAACCCGGGTCAGGCACAAGCAAAACAAGTGCCCTACCCTCCTTAGTATCTCTCTGGACCCATGAAGAAATTTCTTGATAACCTTTGCCCAGTTTTGAATTGGGGGGGTCTTTCATGAACCCTTTGTCTGTAGCTAACTAGCACACTTTTTAAATTTTTATCTTATCTGTTCTATTTTTTTTTTTGGCTTTTTGGGTCACATCTGGATGCACAGGGGTTACTCCTGGCTCTGCACTCAGGAACTACCCCTGGCGGTGCTCAGGGGATCATATGGGATGCTGGGAATCGAACCCGGGTCAACCCAGGTCAGCAGCGTGCAAGGCAAACGCCTTACCCGCTGTGCTATCACTCCAGCCCCTATCTGTTCTATGTTTTATTTTGTTTTGGGGCCACACCCATCAGTGTTCAAAGGTTACTCCTGGCTCTGCATTCATGAATCACAACTGGTGGGCTCAGGGGACCATATGGGGTGCCACCGATCAAAGCCACATGAAAGGCAAGCACTTTAACTGCTGTGCTATTGCTCTATACTGTTTTACCTTTAAAGAAAAATCATACTCAAAGCACTACATTGAATTCATTTGTATTGTCTTACTATACATTAAGTCTGTTGTAGAATCTCCATTGTTAGGTGAGCAGAGATTGTTCGCTACTGTTTTGCTCTCCGTTGCTACATTACTTTATGCATCGTAAGTTCCCCTTGCACTGGACAAGCATTTGTTGACTTGTAAATAATTTTAGAATTTCTATTGCTTCTCCTGCGGTGTCAGAAGGTGACGGTCTTCCCTGAAAAGGTTTGGGGCCTCTCTGAACTGGTGCTCTGGCCTGGGTCGCCCCTGCTCTAGTGCGTATCTAAGTTGAGATGTGCAGAACGATACTGGCTCCACAGTGTGCTGGGGACCCTGTGTGCAGGACACATCCATGCTTGTGTGGCACTGACAGGAGGAGGCAGAGATCTGTTTTTAAAAACCATCGAGTCTGGTGCTCTCACTGCCTATAACCCATTTTGGCATCACGGTAATCATTTCTCAGCTGCCTGGGTGCCACCTGTCCATCCTTCAGTGTTTGGCCCAGATCTGTGAGACACCTGGAGTTTGGGCCCCTCATCTGTGCCCCTGGCGCCAATGTCCCATCATCATTCCTATTGAGTTCTTATTCTAATGCCAATAACCCCATTCTTATTTGGGGTGGGTGGACAACATCCAGTTGTGCTCAGGGCTCACTCCTGGCACTGTGCTCAGGAAACATGGGATGTCAGGGATCAAATCTGGGTCCGCTATGTGCAAGGTGAGCACCCAACCCGCTATACTGTCATTCAGGTTCAGATAAATCTTTTTGGCATTTCTGCAATTAGATATATGAAATACCTAGTAAGTTTTGTTTCTTCTGTTTGGGGGCGACACATGATGGTACTCTGTCCCACTTCAGGGGGACTACATGTGGTCGGGGATTGAATTGGGGTCAGCTGCTTGCTAAGCAAGTGTTTCAATTCCTGTACTACCTCTCAGGCTCCCAAATGTCTAGTAAATACTTATAGGAAATAGCACTGTAGTACTGTCCTCCCATCGGTCATCCATTTGCTCGAGCGGGCCCAGTAACATCTCCATTATGAGACCTGTTGTTACTGTGTTTGGCATATCGAATATGTCACGGGTAGCTTGCCAGGCTTTGCCATGTGGACGAAAATACTCTTGGTAGCTTGCCAGGCTGAGAGGGGTGGAGGAATTGAACCCGTGTCGGCCAGGTTGGCCACATCAGTCGTGTGCAAGGCAAATGCCCTACCTGCTGTGCTATCGCTCCAACCCATAGGAAATAAATGATCATTAATTTTAAGAGTGGGTTGGGGACCATAAAACAACAAAATAGAAGACTAACACCCAAGAGTGGCCGAGATAAGTACCAGGAGGATTACTCCATGGCTTTGAGGCCAGCCGCACATGCTAGGGGAAAAGGCAGCTCAGATAGAGAAGGGAGCACCAAATAAAAGGTGCTGGGAGGTTCCTCCCAGTATGGGAGATGCGTGATGAGAGTGGACTATAGACAGAACATGACTGCCACTATCTCTTTTGCAAACCACAGCCCTCAAAAGAAGAGAGATAACAAAAGGGAATGCCCTGCCACAGAGGCAGGGTGGGATGGGGAGCATGGGGAGTGGGAGGGATACTGGGATCAGTAGTGGTGAATGGGCACTGGTGGAGGGATGAGGGTACTCGATCATTGTATAACTGAAACCCAAGCACAAAAATTTGTAAGTCTACAACTGTACCTCATGGTGTTTCACTAATAAAAATTTTTAAAAATTTAGGAGTGGGGTGGGTTACCATGCAGTGCTCCCGGGACCTGCAGCCACACCCTGAAATACTCATGTCAATTGCTTGCCTAAATGGTTCAGTCCTCAGGGGCTGTCAGGGGCACCTAGTTGGGGCCAGAGACCTGGCAGTTTGGGTCCGGTGGAGCTCAGGGTTTCTACACGCCAGGCCTGTGCTCCAGCCCTCTGGCCCCAGAGAATTCTTAAAACTCAAACAACAAAAACGGGCCCGGGACAGTACTGTGGTTAGGGCAGGGTGCCTGCCTTGCACATGGCCAGCCCAAGTTCGTTCCCCGGCACCCTATATGGTCCCCTGAGCACTGCCAGGAGTGATCCCTCAATGCAGAGCAAGGAGTAATCCCTGAGCATCACTGGGTGTGGCCCTAAAAACAAACCAAATAAAACCCCCAGAAATATTGTTTTGATCTGTCGAGGCTGTTGTAACAAAATACTGTTATCTTAGGTAGGTTAAATCACAAACCTGTAATTCTCATAGTTCTGAAGGCTGGGCAGCCCAAGATGGAGGTGCTGGTCCATCGGGTCAGCTGCACATCCTCCTTCTAGTTAGCTGATTCCTGCTTGCTATAGCCAGACTCCCTCACACCTCCTTTGGGCAAGCCTCTGACTCCAGTTTTAAGGGCTCTACTCAAAGACTCAGCTGCCTCCCAAAGGTCCCACCTCCAAAGCCATCATATTGGGGCTTCGACATGACTTTTGGGGGATAGTCTGTAGCAGACGGAAAATAGAAACACGGACCAAAAAAAAAAAAAAAGAAAAAGAAAGTCAGGTATACGGAACAAAGGTGTAGGGACAGAGAGATTATCTGGGCCTGAAAAGTCACTGTGTTGGAGTCCGTGCAGAGGCACAGACTAACACTGAGGTCCTAGAACCACATGTGGTTCGATGTCATCTCACTCCAATGCTGAGACTGTCCTGACCGTGCCCGAAGGCAACTGTTTCTACCCAGTGAGGTGGTACCCAGTACCCCGTCCCCCATCCGCCCCCGCCCCCCCACCATGAGCTCTCTCCTTGGCCCCAGTCAGGAATCAAACCCAGGGCCTCAATATGCACGGCAAGTGCCATACCACTGAGCCACATCACTAAACCCAAACCAATTTTTATTTTTAACATTTTGGGGTCATTCCTGGTGAGGTCTGTGGCACTGGGCATACCTGGGACTCCTGTATGCGTGCGACCTTATGCTCCTGCAGAGCCATCTCACAGCCACCTTAAACATTCTAACACCAGAGATGCAACATTTCAGGGTAAGTGTAAAAACAAAACAAAACAGCTCTGGAGTTAGGTCAAAGCAGTAACTAATCTTGCTACATACCTAGTTGCAATAAGCATGAAACATAAGCAATGCAATGCAGTTTTAGAAGCAGGTTAAGACCAGAGAAAAGAACTGAGACATCGATGGGAAAAAAAAAGGCAATATTGCAAATCACTGATAGTAAAATAATTTTATTTTCTTTTTTAAAAAAGGTAGCATTTCACATAGAAATTTAGACTTCGAGATTACAGTGTTTATTTGCCAAAAGGAACGTCCCTGAAGGAGGGGCAGACTCTGAGCTCCCGAGCGGGTGCAGGGGCAGACTCCCGACGGAGTTCAGTGGAAGTATTTTTTTCTTAACTTCACACGTTACTTCCCTGTTCCTCAACTCTGCCACCAGGGCTGTGACTTGTAAGAAAACCCATATCCATGACTTTGGGACAACAGCTTCTTAGCTCATGTGAACAGAAAACATTTCTAGGAATAAAAGCATGAAGGTCAATAATTCAGACTTCCCACAACAATCATTATCTGCAGCAACACAATGACAGGTGAAGAGTTTATATTTTCAAAAAGTTCTTTAAGGAGGGCTTAGGAACACAAAACTCTTGTATTATCATTAAATGAGCAAAGGGGGAAAAAAAAGAATCTTTCCATATTACAAAAGCATCTATTATATAAGGCCCAGGAAAAAAGACCCATCAGATCTGGGGTTTCTCTTCCGACCGTGTTTGGCACAACCCACACACTGCCACGAGACTGGCAGGACCAACTCAAGAGGCCCCATGTTTTCTGTCTGCTTTCAACACCCTGCGCACAAGAAGTGCTGTACAAGCTACACAACTCGGGCCCAACAATGTGATACTCATCTCAGCAAAGCTCACTCCCGGGGAAATGGTCCAATCCACCAGGCCCCCGAGAGCCACAGGCAGACTCGGCCAATCTCTCACTGAAGACAAAATCCACAGGCTGCTCAGGGAGGGAGTCAGTGGATTCCTGAGGCTCCGGGAAGGTGGATGTTGGAAGAAAACAGCTTTGCTTTCAGCATCTCAGGGCCAGGAGAGGGGGAGACAGATGACAGTGACATAGGTGTTTCCTCAGTGACTGAGTGGGTTCCTGATGCACAAACAACCTTCAGGAGAAGCGGCGTGCTAGGAACCACGGCAGCCTGAGGACTTGGCCTTCAGGGCGGAGGTGGTGGGGCAAATGCACATACCCCAAATCCAGTTCTAAAAGTCAAGGTTTCCTGTAAAGATGATGCAATACTGTGCAGTAAACAGCGAGGAACGGTATGCTGCTCCTGTCCCGCTCTTGGCCAGCCAGAGCTAGACGGTGACATGTGAGGAGCTAACTGTGGTTAAAAACCAGGCACCTTAGTCACACGTGGCCCGGGGCAGTGAGGCAGACGGTCACCACCAAAGTGGGAAATGGAGGGCCCCAGAGCTTTGGTTCAAAGCAAAGGTTTCATCTCGCCCAGCACTTCAAACCACGCTCTGTCTCTGAGCCGACTAATGCGACAATCTAGTGATTAGGAATCTATGAGGAATCACTGGTTAGGAGGCAAAGCACACGTCCCCGCAGGCCCCCAGCCTGGCTGCAGGAAAACAAAAAGGTGCAAATCATATCAAGTAAATGGTTGCTCAAGTGGAACATCACTTCCAGGGAACTTCAGGGCCTAGGTATTAATGCCACGGCAGAGCGCAAGGACCAGCGCCCACAGAGGGCGCCCGGGTGCAGACGGAGTCAGGCTTCTGCACACTCACCACATCCCGGCTGTTCTTCGCTCTGGCCGCTCTTGCAGGGCTGAGCACACATCTCCCCAAGGACCAATGTAAACATTATTCAATAGATCTCAGCTTAGAAAAACACCAGCTTGTTATATGTGTAGTGTTGAACATTCCAGTGCAGGCAGTATCTTAGCATCAGATTTTCCCTCATTCATGAGTACCAGTTTAGAAAGGAACACAGATAGGATATTTGACAAGACCGTGGCTGCAAGGACCTGCCGGGTGTCAGCAGCTGGTTCTGTCCTGCAACCAGCGGTACATCAGGACAACCAAATGAGAGGCAGAATGGAACACAGGTTCTCTGGGAATCTGAAGAGTCGCGTAACCACCATTGTTCCCACTTAACCCCTTGGGTCACATCTCAACAGGGCAGAACATTTCCACCTCTTGCATCAACCTGTGCTCTCCTTGTTTTGGATGGGGCTCTTCCCAGAGGGTTCCAGAGCCTCCTCAGAGGGGAGTGAGCTTTTCCTTCCAGTCCTTTGATCAGAATTTTTCAAAGCGCAAGAGGAGTCCACGAACATGCTAGGGATGTCGCTGCCAAAGTAGATCTTACTGTTAGAGGCAATGGCCTGGTACCTTTTAAGCTCCAGATATTCCGGTGTCAATTTGTGCTGTGGAGGCAAACAAGACAAATGCATCAGGATCCTCGGTTGCTACGGGTCCCCCCCCCCCTTCCCTTTTCCCTTCCTTTCTCTCACATGCACTGCTCTCCTGAGGACCAAGACTCAACCCTGAATAGTGGCCAATGATTCTCGTGCACATTTAGGGGGAGAGGTACGGGGGTCCAGCTGAGGGGATCCAGTCTCAAACACAAGGCATGCCCTTCCCCACCGAGCCAACACCTACTCCACCCTCCCCCGCCCACACACACACATTGGCTATCGCACTAACAAGCTTTCAGCATGTCTTCTTCTCCCAGGAGAAGTGGCTCATACTTTCATAATACTATTTAAAGGGATAGAGATGAGAATCAGGAGAAACAACTGTAACAGTAATTTTCATAACTAACATTCCTAGAGTGACGTAAACCAATGAAGTCTTTCCACATCTATTCTCATTTCATCTTCTAACCTCCACCTGTAATTTTTGCCATTTCTATTGAGAGAAATGAACAGGTTGAAAAAGATGTCAGAGTTTCTAAGAATGGGCTTGGACTCATCACTTTACAGTCAACTGTGATTCTGATATTTTTCTAGAACTGGAAAAGACTTGATGAAATCACCTGGTCTGGCCTCCTGCTTCTCCCCACAAGGTGGAAATTTAACCTGTTTCTGATGAACGGATAATTGTTTTGAGTTTTTTTGTTGCTGTTATCTTGGTTTTGGGGTCACACCCGGCAGTGCTTAGAGCTTACTCCTGGCTCTGAGATCCAGGATGATTTTTGGTGGGGCTAGAGTACTACGGGGGGGGGGGGGGGGGGGGGGGCGCGGTGATCAAACCCAGGATGGCTAGGTGCAAGGCAAGTGCTGTACCCACTGTACTATGCACTATCTTTCCAGCCCCCTAGACAGATACTTGTTAATCACAGATCTCTGTCCATCACACTGTTTTGTTTTACGATTACTCTGGGTTTGATTCAAACTCTAATGTTCCCTAGAGCAAAGTTTTGGCTAAAACTCATTTCAGTGTTCTAAAAGATTCTCAGGAACTCCCTACCGATCACTCCTCATATTAAGTCCAGCCTGTTCTCTAGGCAAAAGCCTATCTTATAATTCACAGCCTTCCACCATCTTTCATTTTCTAGATGTATTTCTTCTCGAGCTGAGACATATTCTGTCAAAATACAGCTATCAAATCTGAGCATAATGAGTAATCAAATTATCTCCAAAAGTCTAATTAATACAGGCCAATATGTAAGACTTTCCCTTCCTTCAACACTGAGGCTGACCTCAATGGCGAGGCCTTCATACAGGCCTGTCAGCTTCTGCCATGACAGAGTTGGCCTGCTGGCTTCCTGAAGTCAGTTCCCACCTTGGTGTCATCTTGTCACCATTCTATTCTGTTTCTACAGAACCATATTTTCCCAGTATGTTAGGTTTATTTTTAAACTTATGCTGGACTTTGAAGGACAACTCTCATCTAATTAGCCTATTAAATTTTATCATTTATTCTGAATACAAATGATGTAGCTCCTTTCTAATGGAAAGCTTAAACCCTATTTATACATTAAGGCTTTAGTTCTTTAAAACCTATCATACACCTTAACAACTCTGTCTCACTTCCTTAACTCCTGCTAAGCTTGTATTCTCTTTCCAACCCTTCTCATATGCATACAAAAAATGCTCACGCACACATTACCCCATCCCCTTTTCTCAAATCTTCCAAGGAAACTCCCCGTGACTAGAAAATTTGAAAAACCCAATGAACAGCACTCAGCTGGAGACTGACTGCAAGCTACTGATGAGCCCTACTGCCATTTAGCAGTCAAGAGCAGGAATACAAAATATTCCCCCATGCATGAGGCCATCTTCAACAACAAAAAGCCTCTCATGCCATACCATCACTTACCATCTGAACAGCAATTCTAAGTTACCTGGACTCATTTCTAGTCTCTCACATCATTTTGAAGAGAAGACAATCAATGTTCCTAACTTATGGCATCCGACCTACATTTATAGATCTGCCAACTACTGTCCTAGCAGTCTTCTTTGAAAAGAAACTATAAACAAAGATCCCTACCCAATTATCACGCACCTATGTCTTACTCTATTAAACGATTGGCTGATCATTGAGCAGCTATTAAAATCAGCCCTATCACATTGGACCCTTCATTAGGAAAACGAAATGCCCGTCTTCCTAGCACGTGATATTGAGGCAAATCACCTTGTTTGAGGTGGCGTACTTGTGTGCAGCATAATACTCAGCATCTGCTTTCGCCTTTTCCCTGGCCAGGAATGCTGCGTCTACAAAGAGAAGAGTCAAGATGCTTCAAACCAACCAAGTTTCCAACCCAGTTCCTCAGCTGCTCAGACCTCAGAGTCATCCACTGCCTCGTCTTTCAGAAAGGCGCAGACAACACAACCGTTTTCCCAGTCCCGCTCCCCAGGCAGCTCCTTTTCCGAGGGGGGCTCTGCCTATGAGGGTGGGCTAAATCTCAGCTCTTCATTTACCACAGGAAGCGGTTCCTTCCTTCCTCCAGCCCCACCACCCAGAGCCTCAGCCTCATTCAGGGCATAGGTTTCACTTTTACATTTACTAAAGTACTAAGGACGGACACAAAAAGCACCACTCTATGTACTGCACTGTCCCAAGACCTCTGACTGTGATCTCAAATATCCCTAATGATAAGCATAAAAGCAAAATGGGGCCAATGTTTAGTCTTCAAGACTGTGAATAAGGCTAAGAACATCACCATCTTACAATGGAAATCAGACATCTGACAGCCCTGTGCACAGGGAGCTTCTGATTTCCCTCATCCTTCCTATATTTTGGCAGACGGGCAGGAAAAGAAATTGGTGGTGGTGATGGTGGGGCTTCTTAGCTTATACACTCTGTATAACTGATTGTGGATAATCTCCCCTTCTGCCAAGAAGAGAGCCCCAATTTAAGGAAGGAAAATAAAAATTAAAGTAGTCACTGTCACAAACCAAAGCAAGAGCAAGAGATGCGACAACAATTTTGTCTGCTTGTCAGTTTTGAGCCATACCCAATGGTTTACTCAGGGCTTACTCCTGGCTTTATATTCAGGGATCACTTCTTGTTCAGGGTGTGAACAAGTGCTGGGGTGTGAACCTGAGTTGGCTGTGTGCAAGGCAAAGCCTGGCTGCTGTACCATCTCTCCGGCCCCAATTTTTAAAAACTTAATCTAAAACATTAGGTTAGCTATCTCCTAAAGAGTGGAACATTCATCTGTCCCCTAATACTTCCCCATCTCCTGCAACCAAAAGTCTAGTCCCTAAGCAGTTCAGGATAGCCAGAAACTCTTTTCTCCCAGGTTGGTGTACCTTCAATTTCAGATATGCGTTTTTCAGTTTCTTTCTCCATCACCTTCTGCTGAAACCGAATTTTTGCCACCTGCGCAACTTTCTCTGCTTCTATAATTTACAAGAAAAAACATTTTTAAAAAACACTGTCATTCTGGAGGCAACAGAGTCTAATATCTAATTATACAAGGTTTTATGGGTTAATTGTTTCATTAACTTTATCTATTCTTGAAACAATGTAACAACAAAAGAGAATTTATTTTCTCCTGCACTGTTTTGACAGTGCTACTTCTGTGTAAAAAGGGAATATAAAAGTAACAATTCCAGTACTTCATGGGATTGAAAAGCGATCCACAGCTAGCAGGAAAAAAAGGTACTTCATGAAAGTGCACAGAACAAAAACCAGCAACGAAAATGCATAACTGACACAGGACAACTTTACTGTCATATCAGGAGAAAAAAAAAGACGGCATTCTGGAAGAAATCTTGAGAAAAATAAACAAGATTTAGAACATGACAGAAAGCTCACGAACAAGACAATATGAGTAAGACTTCAAGAAAAATGGTCAAGTGCTAAGACAACAAAAAAATAAGGATAGGAAGTATACTAGAAGATGCTTGTTTTAAGTCACAAGGCTACGGAATTTACCTCTAAGATACTCAGAATCAATTGAAGTTGTACTAGGTAACTGACATGAAAAAAACATAGCGGAGGAAGAATATTCTGGCTCTTAGAGGAAAGAGAGGGAATGATTCATCTCAGAATGTGAACAGTGTCCGGAGTGAACAGGTACAGCTAGTTGCAGAGAAAAATGAAAGCCTTACTTGAATCCTTTAAAACCATGTATCCTAAGCAAAGAACCTGAGGACAGGCAGATTTCTTTCTAGTTGTAGTTCAAATGCTAGCACTAAAATTCTGAAATCTCTCCTTTTCCCTTTTTGGCCAAAGAAAGGAATGTTAACACATTTTATCTCTGGTCCTGAGAGAAGTGTATGATGGAAAGAAAATGTCCAAGAAGTTTTGTCTTTACTCACCCAAAGATGTTTCCCACCTCTAACATCTTACTAATTACTCCAGAGCACACGTCCCTGTTTCCTCATCAGCATAAGCTGATGGTTCTGGTGGGCTACAAATTTAGAAGTAAGCAGAAACTCCTGACAGAACCTCAGTAAGAGGAAAGGAATGCGGACCTGGAAGGAGAATCCGAAGGATGTCCCTGGCACAGGGTGTGGAAGCAGTAATGCAGGACAGGCTCCCCTACGTGAGCTCAACCCCAAAAAGGAGCGGATCAGATTCCTAGTTCTGAAGCTGTAAAGCAGGTCCCGAGAAGACCCTTCAGCTGGCCTTGCTTCTAAGCAGCAGATGAAATAAATCCATTTTAAACACAGGGTTGAGATCCCGTGAGAGAATGATAAAGTCCCTCAAGAGACACAGCAAAGGCTGAGTGGGAAGCCAGGACGGCAGTTGTCCTGGGGAGAGTGGGTCTGGGTCACTGTCCATGCAGGGTCAGGAGGCTGGAGATGCCGGACATGCGACTCCTGCATGACGCAGAGACCACCAAAGGCTGCAGTCCTGGGAGACTAAGAAATATCGACCCAGAAATGTGATCTTTTCTCTGTGCAGACACATCACAGAAACTGGTGCTGCACAGAGAAAAAGTCTTCAAAGTAAAAAGATGCCAGGCAAAACTAAAATAATAATGCCCGCGTTACAAAGAAAAGTTTAGTGGAGATTCTGTAGGCTAAAGTACCACTCAAAAATGACAAAGCATTTTGGACTAAGGAAAAAATTAAAGATGTTTCCCACTTCTTCGCCTTCATTAAAAATGCAGTTAACAACAACAACAAAAGAATGAACTGCCAGAAGCAATGGAAAGGAAAAATCATTTAACACGTGCAAAGCAAATAATAAATTTTTGTTTTAAGAATGATGATGATAACAACCAATGGGGGATGAAAGTAAACCAGCAGCAATAGTGATGAAAGTCAAAGCATTCTGAAGCATTGCTCAAGAAGAGGATGGTAAAAATTAACTTTACACTTTGTTGAATCAGATATGCTTGAAAACATTTTACAGGACATGACTAAACATTTTAGAAACAGAATGTAAAACTTCTAATTAAGTAAAACAAAGAAATGAATTAAGGCAGTTCAGGCAATTAAATACTAATCGGAAAAGGGGGAAAGCAGAGTAAAAAAAAAAAGCATGGTAAATAGCACAAATTAAATAACAAATCCAAACATAATCGTAACCACAAAAAATATAAAAAGACTAATAAACTCACCAGTTAAAAGACAGATTCTCACATTGGTTAAGATAACAAAATCCAGCTATATGCTGTTTTACAAGAGACATACCTAAAACATAATGACATAGAAAAGTTGAAAGTAAAAGGATGGGAAAAGATACACCAAGAAAATAGCCAAAAGAAATCTAGCATTGCTATATCATCATCAGACAAAACAGACCTTTCGCCAAAAAGCATGACGAGGGATAAAGAGGGTTATTACACAGCAGAAGTAATTCTTCAGGGAGATGGAGCAATCCTAAACCTGAGTATTTTTAATAATACAGACACAAAATATGTAAATAAAAATGCTGCAAACAAGCCCATAAATCCAGCTGTCAACACACTTTTTTCAACTGACAGCTCAAGGCAAAAATTCGAAGAGACCGAAGATGTGATCTACCAGGAATACAGAGAAACCATTCCCAACAAACAAAACCAGGCATTCAACTTTTTCACAGCAGGTAGGGCGTTTGCCTTGCACACAGCCAACGTGGCCCACCTGAGTCCGATTTTTCCGCCCCTCTCGGAGAGCCCGGCAAGTTACCGAGAGTATCTCGCCCGCATGGCAGAGCCTGCAAGCTACCTGTGACGTTCTCGATATGCCAAACACAGTAACAACAAGTCTCATGATGGAGATGTTACTGGGCCCACTCGAGCAAATCGATGAATGGAAGACCGTGACCGTGACCAACTTTTTCAAACACACGCATTTACAAATCAAGAACCATGTATAACAGGCCACATATTTCCAGTATTTAAACTATCCACACAACAGATCACACTCGCGTTAGCACTGGAAATCAACAAAAAGGAAACTCCATGAAAGCCCATTCGATCAGAAACTGAAAAATCATACTCTTAATAATTCATGAGTCAAGAAAAAAATAATGGCAATTAAAAAAATTTAAAGTGGAGCCTAACAGACTGTACTTAAAAAGTTTTGAGATGCATCTAAAGCATAACTTAGCGGGTGAGAAGGAAACTGGGGACACTGGTGGTGGGAAATGCACACTGGTGAAACGACAGGGGCTGGAACATATAACTGAAACCCAATCATGAACAACTTTGTAACTGTGTATCTCATTGTAATTCAATGGAAAAAAATAAATTAAATTTTAAAAATAAATAAAAAAAAATTTAAAAGAAAATTTATAATCTTAACATATTTCCATTAGGAAAGACAAATTTAACTATGGAACTTAAGAAATTAGTCACTGTCCCTGTCCTGCTGTTCATTGATTTGCTCGAGCGGGCACCAGTAACATCTCCATTGTGAGACTTGTTACTGTTTTTGGCATATCTAATGTCACTGGTAGCTTGCCATTTAGTACAAACAATAAATTCCCCCCAAAGTAGGAGAAAATAATAAAATTATGTGTAAATAATTGGGAAAACAAAAAAGTGACAGTAGAATCAACTAAAAAATACAGTCCTTTGAAAGCATCATTCAAGTAACAGGACTATGGCAAAATTGATCAGCAAAAGAGAAGGCACAAATAAATTTAGGAATAAAAATAGGGGCATGTAGATTTGATAGGTTTTAAAAATCCTATGAGAATTCTGCCAACTGTTGCCCCCAAATTTCAAATAGCAGATAAAACACCTAATTTTCTAGAAAAATTTAATTGCCAGAACTGACTTAAAAAAAATTAAAAAAACATTGGAAGGAGGAATTGAGCAGACCTAAACTATTGTAAAAATACATAGAAAAGAAAAACAGATATATCAACAGACATACCTAATATAGAAATTAAACCAATAAGAAAACATTGCCACAAATAACAAAACCATACAAAAAAAGAGCACAATTCATTCCACTAGACCAAGGTGGTTTTTGCACATGAGTTTCACCAAACCTACAGAGGAAAAATATTTACTTTACATAAACTATTTCTGAACACAGAGAAAGATATGCACTATAATTAATTTTGAGGCTACCATTTATAACCATAAAAAAAAGTGAGTGAAGAAAAGTATAATAAGGTGATCTCATTAGTGAAAATGAAAATCTAAAGAAACCAACAAAGACTTCTAAATATGGGACAACTTCTTATATCAAGACAAAGTGGGTTTAATACCACCCAAATAAAATGATTCAGCATTAGAAAATCTCAACTAACTGCTTTTGAAAAAGTCATTTAGTCATCTCAAACAGAGAAAAAAAATTACAAATTTAACATTCAATTGTCACAAAGACTCTCAGAAAACAAATACAGAAGATCAACAGAAGTTAAATACAGCAAATCTCACTGGGTCTATTCAAGGTAAGGATACGAGGCAAAATTCCTCTCACCGTCTTTTTTTTTTTTTAATACTGCACTGAAGTCTTAGTCTAACACAATAAGGTAAGAACTAAAAGATGTAGCACTATAAAGGAAACAAACAAAGCTCAAAACTGTACTGACTTGAGTAAGAGATTTACAAATAGCAATGACTTGAGTAAGAGATTTACAAATAGCAACTTGAGCAAAATTCTGCTCAACAAATCAACATCTCAGTACATACACAATTATCAGTAAAAAAAGGTGCCTATTTTTAAGCAAGATTGCGTATTTATAATAATGATAATTTTAGGATCTTGAGGAATACGTGGGAAAAAGTCTCTAATAAAGAACTGGGGCCCAAGGGTGGGAGAGGGCACACGGTTAGGGAGCTAGCCTCGCCAAGCCAGGTTCGAGTCCCAGCGCCACACAGTCCCCTGAGCACTGCCAGGTCACTGAGCACCTGCAGGGCCCCACAGCATCACCTCCGCAGGCCTCTTCACTAAGCCACTGGCCTACTTGTCCGAAAACTGTGCATGTGGCTCCCGGACTTCCTGTC